TTTTTTTTTTTTTTTTTTAATCCGGGCCCTGGTGGTGTAGGCCTACACCATGCCTAAATCTTACAAGTTAAGTGCCCTTCATACGGACCTGTCTGTATCCCTCATGCATGACAATAACTGGTGCATATTCCTGCCCAGAAATTAACAAGTTCCCAAGATCAGGATCACCTTTTTGTTTTCAGTTCTAGATGAAGCTTCTAGTATGGTCTTCCTCATGAATGTCTATCTGGAAAAGCTTTGTGCATCTTTGCTTTTCCTCGTCACATAATCCAGTGTGGAATATTTTATGGATTTTCTAGATCTCATTATACTGTTCATAGACACTGTACACTTTGCTAAGTTTCATCTTTAGCCCTTATAACTGTCCTTTCTTAGTTAATGTAACAGGGACTCTCTTGCCAAATCTAATTTTCACAAGTAGGATATCCACATCTTTCTGATCCAGGATTGCTAATTTAAGTTTAACCTGGTCTGTGGTGACACCAGACACCAGCACCTTGGAACAGAGTGCAGTGAGCTCAGGAGATGTAGTCTTCCTTTAGAGGTGAGGCCATCAGTCAGAGTTGTTAAAGGGAAACTATGCAGACTTGTTTTCCTGGCACTAGATCTTCCCCCTATCTGCCCATCTGGTCCGATCATACAGAATAGCTAATGTAGCTCACATTGCTGAAAATCCTATTGCTTGCACACACTGCATCACAGTTTGCTGCAGTTGGGGCCGACTAGACAGAAATCAGTCAGAGTGCCCATGATGACCCATCTCCACCACCAAAAGTGCCTTCAAATGGGATCTTGAGAATCCGAACTGGATCATAGAGCAATGGAATAAGGTTGTCTGGTCTGATAATCACGTTTTCCTTTAGATCAGGGGAATGGCCGGGTTCATGTACGTTGATTAACTGAAGAAGAGATAGCTGCAGGATGTGTTTAGGAAGAAGGCAGGCTGGTGGAGGCAGTGTTACAATCTGCAATTTTCTGCTGGGGAATCCTTGGGTCCTGACATTTATGTGGATGTTACTTTGACACATACCATCTGCTTAGTGATTGTTTAGACTACGTACACCTCTTTATGGCAATTGTGATCCCTGATGTCTGTGGCCTCTCTCAGCAGGATAATGAACCCAGCAAAAATTGTTCAGGAATGGTTTGAGGAACCTGACAAAGAGTTCACTGTGTTGCTTTGGCCTCCAAATAACCCAGATAGCAATCTGATTGAGCATCTGTGGAATGTGCTGGAACAACAAATCTGATTCATGGAATCCCCACTTCGCAACTTGCAGGACTTAAAGCACATGCTGCTTAGGTCTTGGCGCCAGATACCACATGACGCGTCAGAGCAGTTTTGGCAGCATCATATTAGGCAGCTGTTTTTAATGTTGTGGCTGGTCAGTGTATACCATTTTGTTGTTTCAACTTCCACAAACCGTCAGAAGATCGTGGTTTCTTTCTTTTTTCCAAAGCTTGACATGTGCACGGTGAGGCTGTTAGGATTATAGTAGACCCAGCACGCAGAATAGTATCACACCTAGGACTAAGGATAATGTCTAACCAGACTTTAGAATGGCCAGACTTGACGTACCTGAGCATAGTCCAAATACTTGCCGAGGTAAGGGACACAATGATGAGAAAAGCCAGAAGTCAAGGAAACCAGAATTTAGGGAAGTCAAAACTAAGCTAAAGTCAAATACCTGAAAAACCCAATCAAGAACACACTCTCGAATGACCAGCTAGTGGAAACCACGACAGGGCACGGACAGAAAGGTAATTTGGGTTTAAATAACCCTCCTTAGGCTGTAATTGGATGTCTCTGACCCCAAAACGTGCGTGCGTGTCTATTACGTGACGTCGCACGCACGTTGGCGCCATCTTTGAAGTGGGCGGTGGTAGGTCTCCTATTAAACCGCAACAGCCAGCGTCTCTAGGAACACCGTACTCGCTGCGGACCGGAATAGAAGGTCAGACAGCGGTTTGCCGCGACCAAGGTAACTGAGATTTTTCTGTCGCAGTGGCCACTGTGTTTCAGTGCGGCCACGCCGGCAGAATTACGGGGAGCCGAAACAGGCTGCTTTATACCCTGATTGTGATGAGGATGCTTCTAAGGGAATTGCAATTACCCCTTGTAAAGATACATATCCTTGCACTAGATCACTCCTATTAGGCCCCTGCCTTCCCATGTGAGCAGCACAGCAGTTACACATCCACAGACACATTTTACATATCAGGACATATTAACAATCATCTGTTCCTTAGCAGGTCTTAAAATTAGGTAAATACAACCTCACATGACACATTACACCGTGTCTTGTTTTAACAAAAATAAAGCCAAAATGAAGATGTCATACTTTATTTTTCCCATGAATGTAGCTGAACAGCTAACTGTGGAATTACCTGTCTGATCAGTAGGATGGAGGAGGTCTCATCAAGGCTTTCTATGGTTGGTTCTACCTTACCAGTTGGGAGATGCAGTGTCCCAAAATAAATGCATTCTCAGTGGACTTGATCACACTGATAAAAAAAAATAATGGGCAGTAAGAATAAGTTTGTTTTATGCCTGGGATTATTACAGTGTTTAAACCCAGTTCTACTCTTTTTTTATAATGGAGGTTAAATGTTTTTTTGTTTTTTAATGCGTATTGACAGATAAAATGCTGTTAACGAATTGTCAGTGTGCCCTTTTTTATCATTTGTCCAGAGATATTGCTACACCAGAATTGATCTGTTTTATTAGACTTGTAATGCAGTTTAATGGAAAATTTCTGCCTTGTGTGATAAGTGTTATCATGTTCTCACTTTTGTAATATTGTAATTGGAAATGTTGAATTGTGTAATGTTTAATTTTTATATGCACTTTGTGAATTGTATACATGTTTGTATGATTTCTAGATTGTAGGTAAAGTGTGTGAATACTGGCAGGTATTTAAACTACCTGTTTGTACAGACAAGTTACAGAGTACAGTAAAGAGAGTGTATTAGGTTTATACAATGGTTGGACTGAATATGAAAGTGCTTAGTATCTGCATTTGTTCTGTCTCTTGATTCCTAAGAATTATTACCTGCCTCTTTTATTTCTTTCACCTAGAAACACCTGATGGTAATTGGTATGGATGTATATCATGACCCCAGTAAGGGCATGCGCTCTGTCCTAGGATTTGTGGCGAGCATCAACCAGTGAGTTATTTATTAAAATGGCAAATAAAAATAACACTGTAAGTGTGTTCTTAATGAGCAAAACTGTGAAATAGTCACTTGCATGCAGTAATCAACAGATGGAACTATACTGGTCATAGTTCCAGACCATTTGCACAGACTAGTTACCCAATTGATTCCAGATACATACTGATTGGATGAAAAGAGCAATTAGTTTGAATAGTGTGAAAGATGAGCAAACATTTAGTGACACTATTATCAATTATTCTTTATTTTGCTGGATTGAAGAAAAAAAAATCAACTAATTTAGTTGAATATACCCCAAATTATTTAAGGGGTAATTGATTTGCCTAGCTTTTCTAATTGTAAACAAATTATAAACTCATATTTTTATATATATATATTAGTTTCCTTACTCAAATTGTTCAAACATAATCGTAACATTTATATCAGTACTGCATGTGTTCACTAATATTTAAGGGAGTTCCAGCTTGAATCTGTGCTTCTTGGCAACTTTTATATTAATCTCAAAATAATAGTCTGTTTCTGTAGAAATGTATCCCTTGATCCACCTTATGTCCTTTCTTGTTGCTCAGCAACCATTCCCAATGGTACTCCCGTGTAGTCTTCCAACTTCCCCATCAAGAGATCATGGACAGTTTGAAACTTTGTCTAGTGGCTGCCTTGCAGAAGTTCTATGAGGTGAGAGGAATATTTGAGGTTTGGATTTCTTAGCATAGTGAATAATATACGTAAAGTGACATGTATTTCTTGGCTGCTTTCATCCATATTGCAATACCATATAGTACTGTGGTGGTTTTTTTTCTTTCCTTTGTTTTGCAGGTGAATCACCATCTACCAGAAAAGATTGTGGTGTACCGAGATGGAGTGTCAGATGGGCAAATTAGTACAGTTGAGAATTACGAGATTCCACAGCTGCAGAAATGTTTTGAAACTTTTCAGAATTACTCTCCTCGCATGGTGTTCATCATAGTACAGAAAAGGATTAGCACCAATATGTACTCTACATGCACTGGAGAGTTTCTAACTCCTGCCCCAGGAACGATCCTGGATCATACAGTGACAAACCGTGACCAGTGAGTTTATGCATAATTCACATCATTTTATACAACTTTCACAGTACATTCATACTACAAACAGGCTCCCGCAGTCTGGTGCTAAAAAAGTTATTAAAGGTATACTATAGACACCAATACAACTGTAATAATGTAGTTTTGGTGTATAGATTATTATTCTGCAATCTCACTACTCAATTACCTGCCATTTAGACGTTAAATCACTTTGCTTATGCTGCCCACATTGTTTATACACCTCCCTGCGTGTGACTTGCACACTTCCTGTAAAGAGAGATCTAATGTTTACACTTCCTTTATTGCACAGTGGGTTAAATCTTGAATTGCTTATCTACTGCTCTGTTAATAGCCTGCAGGATACTTCTGTGATAAGTTTAATTTACAGAGTTACTTAAAGTAAGTTGAAATCAGATTAAAAATGAATCCATTTTTTTCATGCTGGTTGTATCAGCCAGAGAAGGTGGCTGTGACTGCACAGACAGAAACACAAGTGATTTTACTAAATGGCAAAGAATTAAGCAGTGATACTAGAGGGGCATGATCTATACAAACAAAACTGCTTAATTGAACTACAATTGTGTTAAAGCCTATAGAGTCTTTTTAATGTGGAAGTGAATTCAGTTTGTCTACCCAGTCCATATATGCATGTTTTGCCGTGTTGTTCGATACATACAAGACCTATTTTCTATATTTTGTATTCATCACCTGGTTTTATTTTTGAAATTATATCTCACCATGTATCTTTTCTCTGTAGCATTGATTTCTTCTTGCTTTCCCACCACGTGAGACAAGGATGCGGGATCCCCACACACTACATATGTGTTCTTAACACCGCTAATCTGAGCCCTGACCACTTACAAAGGTAAGTGAAAAACGTGCTTTTTCCAATAAACAGATTTGTATGTATGGCATTGTCTATTTTGTGTTTAGGACACTCAATGTATATGACTATTACCCATTTTTGACTTCCTCTTGATAATCTATGGATTCCTTTTTTTTTATTTATTTTTTTATAAATTTTTATTTTTGCACTGCATAGAAATGGTACAAGCAGGCCTGAGGTGCCCCAAAAGCACTCCTCAGGCGTTTCTTCTTGCTTAACATGCGGGACATATAAGTAACAAGCACAGTTTTATAATATGAGCAGGCTAGGTTAGTTACCGTATATACTCGTGTATAAGTCGATCTCGTGTATAAGTCGAGTGCTGTTTTGTGACCAACAATTGAGAAATATGCTATGACTCGTGGATAAGTTGAGGGTAAAACTTGGGGCTATGAAATTCTGTGATTTTTTTTAATTTTTTTTTTAATAACTTTGTCAGATTTTACCTAAGATCCTGGAACAATCAAACATGTCAGTTAAAAACTGGATTTAAAAAAAATCAGCAATCATGAACATTTAATTTATTAACTGTAACGAATTCCTTAAACTTATTACAGGGAATTTTTAGTTATGCCCTCCAAAATAGCACAAACATTGTTTGGCCTATACAAATCCTTCAAACTCTGACTCATCATCGTCAGAATGTCCAAATAAGTCACGATATTGTTCTTCGGTGATGCCATCAGCATAAACGTCGTCTTTGCTGTCATCATCTGTTGAATTGGTATATGAAGCCGATTCATCTTTCTCTTCATAGATGGCGTCGTCCTCTGATCAATCCATAGCATTACTAATTCCGCATTTCAGGAACGACTTCTTGATCATTTCTGGTGATATTGAATCCCAAGCATCCTTTACCCATTTTGATATCAAATCAATGTCTGGTTTCATCAAGTTTCCTCCTTTCGTTAACTTTGCTTGACCAGAACACATCCATTGTTGCCACATATTGCGTATTCGGTCCTTGAAAGGCTTGTTGAGACAGACATCCAGTGGCTGGAGCATTGATGTTAGGCCGCCTGGAATCACTGCTAACGTGGTTGCCATTTTTTTTGCTTCATCCTTCACATTCTCTGTTATATGCGCACGGAACATATCCCACACCAATAACGACTGACATTTTCTTAGCGCTGTGCCTGGTTGCCTGCCCCACACATTGCGCAGCCACAACTTTGTACCCTCCTCATCCATCCAGCCTTTAGGGTGAACACGAACAGTTACTCCTGCCGGAATTTTTAAATTCTTTGGCATTGTTTTCCTCTTGAATATTATTACCGGGCGCAGTTTAGTGCCATCTGCCCGGCAAGACAGTACAACAGTGAAATGTGACTTTTCATGACCGGTTGTTTTTATAAGTACAGTTTTTTCTCCAACGCTTTCTACAGTTCGATTGCCAGGCATATCAAATGTCATCTGAGTTTCATCCATATTACCAATGTTATTCAGAGCGAAACCATTCTTTTTTCTCTGTTTGATAATGAATTTGTGGAATGACATGACCTTTTCGTCCAGCTCTTTAGGCAGCTTCTGAGCGATCTTTGTTCGCTGACGAAGACACAATCCATATCGGTTCATGAATCGTGTGCACCAACCAGATGATGCTCTAAATTTTGTCATATCTTCAGTCGCCAAATATTTTTCTTTTGCTATCTGAAGTGCTCGTATTCGAATGCTCGAGCGAGTCACAACATATCCATTTTGTCTACATTCCATTATCCAGTCATTCAAATCCTTTTCCATTCCATCAAAAGGTGTAGCTTTGAAACGTAATGTTTTCTTCAACTTCGGCATGGCTTGCAATTTAGCCTCATTTTTCCTCCAATCTCTTACGAGTTTTTCGCTGATGCTAAACTCTCTTAAAGCTACGCTATTATTGGCTTCTTTTGCACGTTCAATAACTTTCAATTTAAGTGCAGCAGTGTAAGAAGCTCTTGTTTTCTTTGCAAAACTAATTTTTCTGAAGATAAGAATTTACCGAAAATGTTCTGTTATTAATGTAATCTTAATAATCATTTGACAACAAACAAGAGTAAATAGTCAATCAAGTTCCCTTATATGGTGTACCGATATGTTTCTTTCTCCCCCTCACTGCTCCTATGTGTACATTTCTCCCTTTTTCTTCCCAGTCTCTATCTTCCGCCTCTGTCTCTTTTTCCCTCCCCCTGTGTCTCTCTTTTGCACATGTTTCATTATCCACTATCCCCTGTGTGTCTCTCTTCCCCTCCCTTTTGTGTGTGTCTGTGTCTCCTTCTCCCCCTCCCCTTGTGTCTCTCTATTCCCTTTCTCCCGAGGCTGACCTTGCACGTGAGAGACTGGAAATATAACACAAATGTCTCTCTATCATGCTCCCTCGCGGTACCCACAATTCCCAGCATGGACACATCACGGAGTAAACCCTACTCTATGATGTGGCTATGCTGTGCATTGTGGGAGCCGCGAGGGAGCATCATTCGGTAGTTTTGTCTGCTCCCTCCTTCAGTTCGTGCTTTCTGACAGCTGCACTGCTAGGATGAACAGTGCTGCCCTGACAGTGTTTAAGCCCATAGTGTGCAGGGTAGCATAGTACGCCTTAACTATGGACCAGGAACCCTACACTATAAGGCCAGGAATACATTTGTGTTCCTGACCTTATACTGTTCCTTTAATATATAGCGTATATAGTGTATCCTTTAATATATAGTGTATATATTACACTGGCCCCCTTTTGCTGAGGGGGCCAGGGACCCTACACTATAAGGCCAGGAATGCATTTGTGTTCCTGACCTTATACTGTTCCTTTAATATATAGCGTATATAGTGTATCCTTTAATATATAGTGTGTATATAGTGTATATATTACACTGGCCCCCTCTTGCTTAGGGGGCAAGAGGGGGCCAGGGACCCTACACTATAAGGCCAGGAATTAATTTGTGTTCCTGACCCTATACTGTTCCTTTAATATATACACACACGCACTCACTGGCTCATACACAAATGCACTCATTGACTCTTGACACTCACATTCACTAACAGAAACACACTCACTGACAGAAACGTTCACTGACAGAAACACACACGTTCACTGACAGAAACATACACACAGACACAAACACACACACACTCACTGACACAAACACACACACATTCACCGACAGAAACACTCACGTTCACTGACACAAACACATACACACACATTCACTGACAGAAACACTCACGTTCACTGACACACACATACACACACATTCACTGACAGAAACACATACCGTACACACACAGACAAACACTCACGTTCAGTGACAGAAACACACACACATTCATTGACAAACACACACTGACAAATATACACACTGACAGAAACTCACTAGATTATAAACACTTTTGTTCTATTTCAAACACTTGGCTGCTGGGATATGATGTAATGTATCCCAGCAGTCCTTAACATAATGTGAGCTGATTGGCCCATCTGGAGGGGTGAGCTGATTGGCCCATCTGGAGGGGTGAGCTGATTTAGCCCGCGCGGCGCATCTGGAGGGGTAAGAGAAAGTGACCGGCGGGAGAGTGGTTTTATGTGCACCCGCTGGTCCCACGGCCCCCTCCCTCCCGCTACCCTGATTATGCCGCTGCAGCCGCCCTCCTTCTTCATGCTTTCACTGTCAGCATGAAAGTGAGTATGCCGCCGGACCGGCTAGGCGGCCGCCCGGTCCGGCGGCACCACTATGATCCAGCTATTCCCCCCTCACACCCATGTATAAGTCGAGCCTGCAATATAACATTAATTTTGCAGGTAAAATTTCTCGACTTATACACGGGTATATACGGTATATCATTAAGCATCAACATTAAGAGTGAGGTTATATTGTAAACAGGCTTAGTTAGTTATTTTATTAAAGCATCAGCATCAATACTAAAGGCATCAGAACATGGTGCCATTAATGTCCGAGGGTGCTGAAGTAGGATTATTAGTATAAGGTTCTGCAGGCAGTCAAGCACGATAGGCATAATATGGCAAACATACGAGAGCATTAACTTTGCTTGGACGCCATGGGTTTACTCACATGGATGCTGAGTAAAGTAATAGGTATTAATCTAAGGCATTATACTGTTTGAAATCGTGCAGGATGAAATTCACTAAAGTAAACTAAAATAAAATAACCACTGGGCTGCGCCCCCATAACAATTTGAACAGAGGGAGAATCTAGGTTAGTAGAGCTGTTGCCTATGGTAGAGCGGCAGATCAAGTTGTCTCAAGCCCTTAAACTAAAGCTTGTCGCTAAGGGGCCTGCATAAGGCTGTTTAACCGATGCCTAACTGTGGCAGGCAGTTAACCTTGGAATGCACGAGTCCACTGTTCCACATGCTTGGGCACCACCAGTCCTATGAGGAGATATGCTCCTGTGTCACGCCGGCAGGACAAAAACCATCCACAGGACCAGTGTCTCTCGGTGCTCGTGGTCGCTGAGTGTGTGTCATGCCACTCTGCGGCCTGTGGGCCAGGACTCTGCCCCTGCTAGTGTGTCCCACAGAGGAACGACTGCAAGGTATTGAGGTTGATTTTTGAAGTCATTGTGTTGTCGACGGGCCCCTCACGGGTCTTTCCCTTGCTCGTGCCTTTACAGTACGCTGGGTAGGAGCTCTGTGTAGTTGTAAGCTGTGGGCTTGAGAGCCTCTCTTGTCAGGCCGAGGCACACGTAGGTTGTGCCGCACAGGATGACCGGGGCTTTCGGCGACTTGGCAGTGTTTGAGGCACTTGTTTACGCTTAGCCACCTTTGGCACAATGTCAGGATTCTCGGGTTTTGTCATAGCTTTGCCGTGCTGCAGATACGGGTGGAGCGCTGCTGCCGTAGCTGATCTCTGTTTACTGCGCTGGAGTTGGGCAGGTGGGATAGGAGTGTTGGATCTGCTGGCTATGCAGGTCCAAAAATCTCAGCATAACGTTTCAAATCTGGCTTCGAAGCCCTGCGCCCAGTCCAGGCTATCTAGATTTGCTTGTTTCCGTGAAGGCCTCTGCATGGCGGCCATCTTTAATCCACCACGCGGTCTGAGACTCCACCGATTGCAGGCTATTTCGGTAAGTGGTGTGCCCAGTTGGGACCGGGTTATCCCCCACCGGTTCTTCAGGATGTGTAGTCCCCAGCAGGAGATCAGCCGCCTCTCCCAGCTGTCAGGCCCGCAGTCCTGGTAGGCCGCAAGGCCAGAGGGTAAAGTACCCTTTCAGGAGCTGGTAATTTGGGATCCTCAATATCCCTGTTGTTTAAGGCGCTTGTCAAGCAAAATTCTGATCCTTCTGCCAGTTCTTTGTGTAATTTTAGTAGATTTAAAGTTTGTGCTGGCAGGAGCTCTCTGTAAACATGTCAGGCCCCACCCCCTCCTCTTTTTTTCATGTCATTCACCCATACCCATTCTATGTTATATTTAAGACCCTAAAAAGGTTACATAATTACATAGCTGAAAAGAGACTTGTGTCCATCAAGTTCAGCGTTCCTCACATTTGTTTTTTGCTGTTGATCCAAAAGAAGGCAAAAAAAACAGTTTGAAGCACAATTGTGCAACAAGCTAGGAAAAAAATTCCTTCTTGACCCCAGAATGGCAGTCAGAGTTATCCTTGGATCAAGCAGTTATTACCCTACATTGAAAGATTATATCCTTAAATATACTGTTTTTGCAAGTATGCATCTAGTAGCTGTTTGAACATCTGTATGGACTCTGATAAAACCACTTCTTCAGGCAGAGAATTCCACATCCTGATTGTTCTTACAGTAAAAAAACCTTTCCTTTGCCTTAGACGAAATCCTTTCTTCCAGTCTAAACGCATGGCCTCGTGTCCTATGTAAAGTCCGGTTTGTGAATAGATTTCCACAAAATGGTTTGTATTGGCCCCCGAATATATTTGTATAATGTTATCATATCCCCTCTCAGGCGATGTTTTTCTAAACTAATTAGGTTTAAATTTGTTAACCTTTCTTCATAGCTGATATGTTCCATTCCTTCTTTACGCCAAAGTGCATAACTCAACATTAAATTTAATCTGCCATTTGAGTGCCCAGTCCCCCAATCCCAGTCTACCTAAATCCCTCTGCAGCAAAGTAATATCTTGCTCACATTTTATTATTTTACAAAGTTTTGTGTCATCTGCAAACAATGAAACATGACTTTCAATGCTGTCTTCAAGATCATTTATAAACATGTTAAATAGGAGTCCAAGAACAGACCCCTGAGGGACACCACTTGCCACCTCTGTCCAGCTTGAAAATTTACCATTAATGACAACTCTTTGTACTCTGTTTTTAAGCCAATGTTCTACCCAAGAACAAGCATTTTCATCTAGACCGATTTCCTCGAGTTTGAACACTAATCTATTGTGTGGAACTGTATCAAATGCCTTGGCAAAATCCAAATAGATCACAGGCCCATATTTATTTTTAACCCCTGCAGTGACATTCCGTGTATAAGACGACCCCCAATTTAAAAGGACACTATAGTTACCTGAACAACTTTAGCTTAATGAAGAAGTTTTGTTGTATAGAACATGCCCCTGCAGCCTCACTGCTCAATCCTCTGCCATTTAGGAGTTAAATTCCTTTGTTTATGAACCCTAGTCACACCTCCCTGCATGTGACTTGCACAGCCTTCCATAAACACTTCCTGTAAAGAGAGCCCTATTTAGGCTTTCTTTATTGCAAGTTCTGTTTAATTGAGATTTTCTTATCCCCTGCTATGTTAATAGCTTGCTAGACCATGCTAGAACCTCCAGTATGTGATTAAAGTTCAATTTAGAGATTGAGATACAATTATTAAGGTAAATTACATCTGTTTGAAAGTGAAACCAGTTTTTTTTTTTTTTATGCAGGCTCTGTCAATCATAGCCAGGGGAGGTGTGGCTAGGGCTGCATAAACAGAAACAAAGTGATTTAACTCCTGAATGACAGTGAATTGAGCTGTGAAATTGCAGGGGAGTGATCTATACACTAAAACTGCTTTATTTAGCTAAAGTAATTTAGGTGACTATAGTGTTCCTTTAAGACAAAAAGATTTTTGGGGGGGAAAAAGTTTAAGACATGCAAAAATGCGGTAACCTGCCATGTATTTCAATGGTATCTATTTGTGAACGAATGATTTATGGAGGATCCGAAGATCTCACAAAAATCCCTATTTTGTACTTTCAAATGTGCGAGAGTATGAAAATTAGATGTCTTCCATCTGCTAACAGCTGAATACTTTACTTTACATTTATCAAAAGGCATCATGACCATGTAGGAGGACTTGGGTGAATTTTTGCAAATTAATACATATAAAGACCGTGTGTGTTATATTTTACCTTTGTGGTCTTACTCACAACCCTCAGTTCTTATCATGTACATATGTAACAGTTCTTGACTACATTTACTATCTATACTGATGACCACAAGTTACTATCCATTTTACTGTCATTGACCAGAAGTATTTTTCTTCCATGTGTGTGTTTGCTGGATCATATTTTTATTTTATTTGCTTTGTCAGGCCGGAATGTGGAGAGATGAAGACGTGACACAGATTTTGATTTTATATTCACTGGAAGCACTAATTTTGGCACCTGCACATTTAATACTAAATAAATATATGAAGGAATTATTTTATTTACCAACAATAGCTTAAAGAATTTGAGAAATATTAAGTGATGTACACCTGTTTGATCTGACATTGAGTGGTGGTAGAATATCCTGACCGCAAACAAGTTGCCTGCCTAGTTAATTTCATTGCATCCAAGATTCAGATTAATTGTTCCAGTGGACACGAGTTATTATCCAGGTGTGAATGAAAACCTCAAATTGGCTGTCAGAACGCCAGGAAATTGTGAGATTAAAAAATGATGGTTCCAGATACATTTGTTAAATACCTTATTTGCTGGTAAGGTAATTTTAGTAATGCCAAAGAGAAACACCCCACTTACAAATAACAAGGTATACTCCAGAATCCTAAAGCATTTCAGCTTTATGTGTGTCCTTTTTTTTTTTTTTTTGTTCATATTTACAAAAAGTGCAGATTTCAAATAAAATTGGCACTTTTATAAATTAACGTTATTAGACCCCTTGGCTGTCATTCAGACAACCTGTCCTATTACGTCCTGTTTTAGTTTAGCTCATTGGAAAACACAATAGGCAGGCCTAGCAAAGACTTCTCATTGAGCTGAATTGGGAAGTCTGTTATTGGATGTGTGTGTGCATATTTATATTTCCTGGCCATATCCATTGCAGCACAACAATGGGTTAGCTCCTCCCATCCCCAGGTAGACAGGAACCTTATTAAAATAAGTGTATAAGTAACTCATTTTCTTTTTTATTTTGTTCCTGTCCTATCTCCATAGAACAAGTTTTTTGGGATCTGGTTTGGTATCTCTCATTTTCTCTTTTTGACTTACCTCTGGGTTGTTACCCACTGCTCTAAGGGATTTCAGCTTCTTTTCCTTTGAAGGAAGCTTCAGTACAATGGCCCTGTGCAAAGGTGACCCCCTGAAGGAACCCCTTTAGTTACCGGGGCCAAGTTGTTGTGACCCTGGGGATAACAAGTATAATAATACCCTTGGACTACCATACTCCTTCCATAATTTTAAGTTACCTGATGAATATAATGGAGTCTGATCTTTAGCCTAGCTTTTCTAGTTGAATTTGGTACCTCTCTGCACTTCTTTCATGGCTTTTCCCAGTACAGTTTGCAGTTTTTTTGCCAAATTAACTCACATGAATAATTGTGATATGTCCAGTCAATATTATTTTGGGCCATCACCGATTTCATAGCTTTAGGAAAGTACAGTGTGCGGGTTTCCTCTTCAACAGTCTGAGTTTTTATAAGCTGAATGTGCATGCCAAAATTGGCATTTGGTCCACGATACTGCGCATACGTGGACCAAATGAAGGTTATCTGAATGCAGCGCATGCAAGAAATTTCGGGGTTTTTAGTGCACGGTAGCGTTAAGGCCGTCACAAAGTCTTTTCAATTGCCAAGTTTATATTTAGGTCCTATGTAAATTAATTAGCCTTTCCTTCTTTGCATACACAGTCCATTTGGCAGATTTGTTAAATTTCAACAAAACTGTATCCTAAAAGTATTAAAGAGAGAGATTATTTAAAGTGATACCTTAAATAATTTATCTCATCCTTTCTTTCCTGGTCCTTCATTGGGACCTTCTTTCAATCCTCAGGATGTCCAATATGGATTCGGATTCCTCTGTCTATGACAAAAGGTCACAATCCAAGAGCAATATGTAAGCTATATAGTTATTTGTATGTTGTTTCTCAGGGCAATTATATAAAACAAAAGAGTGTGTATATTAAGATTTCACTTTTATTATAGCTCAATGGGGAATAATTCAAGCAGTGTTAATTTTGTCGACTAACAATTTTAGTCAACAAAAAATTTTGTCGAATACAACTAAAATGATATTTATAGTCAAAAGACTAGGACTAAAATGAAATTGAAATTTGCAGCCAAAATTAACACTGCACAAAGAGGGGCTGTGGAATGGGCTAAAGAGATAGACTAGAGCTTGGGAGAGACAACTAGGTGGGCTTGGAGGACACAGAGGGGCTGGGGAAGCGGCAAAAGAGACAGAGGCTTTAACTAAGCCCATTAGATTATAGTTGCATCGACTAAAATCTACTGTTGGTTTAGTCAACTAAAACAATTCAGATTACTAAAATACGACTAAAACTAAAATGGCTTTTGTAGTCAAGACTATGACTAAAACTAAATTGAAATTTGCCACCAAAATTATCACTGAAATCAAAAGAGAAGTTCCCTGAGAAGTAGCAATGCGAAGCATGTGATTCTAAGACCTTAGAAGGAAAACACCTCTGCATAGCCTGCCTAACAGCAGCATCAGTGCCTTTCACCTCTACACCAAACGTCATGGGCTTTTTCAAACAGCTTGTCCCAGGGTTTAAATAGGCCAGTCAATCACGTAAAAATACCAAGATCTGTTTTGGTCTAAAGATTATTTCTCAGACATGGAAGTGGAATCCTTTTGAGATACCCGTTCTTTGCATATGCGTGTGCACGAGGTGTGCCTGGGCACACCCTAATCCCCGCGGCACACGTATGGATTGAGACCGGTAGGGGAGATCTCAGGATCTCCACTGACGGCTCATGCAAAGCCGGCGCTATCCAAGCGCTGGTTCTGCTCTAAGCCTCCATGGGCCGGTGGGGAGATCCTCCTCACCGGCCCACAGTAGCATGGAGGGAGGAAGGAGAGGACCCGGGGAGCTCTAGCCAGCAGCTCCACCGGGTTCCTCTTGCGAGACTCAGGTCTCACGAGAGTGAACTCTAGCCCCACAGGCTAGAGTTCACTCTCCACTGGACCACCATGGGTGGCACATGGCAGCAAGGATCCCCCTTCTTACATAAGAAGGGTGGGAGAAATTTACTAATTTGCCCCCACCTCCACCCTCACAGTCCCTCCAAACATAGAGCTCACACACACAGCACACTAACAGCACCAACACACGAACAGGACCCTAACAAACACACACAAACACCCTCACACACAGCACACGAACAGGACCAGCACCCTCACACACAGTACACCAACAGCACCCTTACAAACACACAGCACACAAACCGCACCCACACAGAAAGCACACTAACAGCACCCTCACAATCACAGCACACTGACAGCACCTTCCCAATCACACACAGCACACACATACAGCACCCTCACACACAGCACACTAACAGCACCCTCACACACACAGCACACTAACAGCATCCTCAGAATCACACACACACCGCACACAATCAGCACCCTCACAAACAAACACACAGCACCCTCACACACACTAACAGCACCCTCACACACACAGCACACTAACAGCACCCTCACACACACAGCACACTAACCGCACCCTCACACACACAGCACACTAACAGCACCCTCACACACACAGCACACTAACAGCATCCTCAGAATCACACACCGCACACACACACATCCCGCAAACAGCACCCTCACACACATAGCACACTAACAGCATCCTCAGAATCACACACCGCACACAAACACACATCCCGCAAACAGCACCTTCACACACATAGCACACTAACAGCACCCTCACAACCACACATCACGCATACAGCACCCTCACACAAAGCACACTAACAGCACCCTCACTATCACACACAGCACACAATCAGCACCCACACAATCAGCACCCTCACACACAACACCCTTACAAACAAACACACAGCACCCTCACACACAGCACACTATCAGCACCCTCACACGACACCCACACACAGCACACAAACAGCACCCTCACACGACACCCACACACATCACGCAAACAGCACCCTCACACACACACACATCACGCAAACAGCACCCTCACACACACACATCCCGCAAACAGCACCCTCACACACACACATCCCGCAAACAGCACACTAACAGCACCCTCACAAACACAGCACACTAACTATTTTTCCAACTTGAGGAAGAGGAAAATTACTTTCCCAGTCCATGAAGCTTTTAAAGACTTTGGGAATGATCCAAGAAGGGGAAAAAAAAGGAAGAATTAATTGTATGTACCTATTTTGAGGCTTCAGATTCTGCTGCCTGGGACTCTACTACTAAAGTAGACTCAGCTATAGTAAGACTGGCCAAGTGTAGTACTTTACCAGTGGACAATGCTGGTTCTTTGAGGGACTCTATGGACCTTAACTTAGCCAAAGTTAATTTGGCAGCAGGCATCGGGCTTCACCCTGCTATAGCACTTACATCTTTTTTATCCAACACTTAAGCTATGGACAGAGGACATCGAGGAGGATCTTAAAGATGAAAGGAGCAGATCCTCTATTATTAACAGCTTTTAAGATATAAAACTGGCTGCAGACTTTACCTTGGAAGCTTCTGGGGACATGGTCAGGACTCTAGACAGAAATATAGTTCTGTCAGTCTCCACCAGAAGGGCTCTCTGTCTTAGATCTTGGACAAATTGATACATCTTCAAAGCACAGTATCTTCTCCATTCCCTTTCAAGCAAAATGCTCTTTTGTAAGCATTTAGACGAGTGCATCAAAATCGCAAAAAATGGGAGAAGAACATTCCTGCCTCAAGATCACAGGACTTAAAAATCATGCAGAAACAGAAGATATGGAGAAAATTCTTCCTTTCAGGATAACATAGCATATTGATCTGGCAGAGAATGTGGAAGATCCCAGACATGGAAAGGTGGTCATTTGTCTAATAAAGTTAACTGGTCCAGAGGTACAGCCCCAGCTAAAAGCTCAAGGTTCTTATGATGGTCTACTCTCGCAGACTAGAGGGGTAGGAGCTTGCCTGCTCCAATTCAATCATGTTTGGTAGAAGCCAATCCAAGACAAATTAGTCCTAGACATTATTTCAAAAGGTTGCTTCCCACAATTCAACAACACTCCACCAAGGCGAAGCTTTCAAATCTCGAAATGGGCAGGAGACAAGGAAAAAAGAGTCATTATAAAGGTTCCGCAAAGAGAAAGAAACCTCAGATTTTATTCTCACTTGTTTCTGACCAAGTAGGTGTCTGGAGGTTGGAGACCAATTCTGGATTTACACAGATGAAACGGATATTTGAAGGTGAGAAAATCCAAAATGGAATCTCTACAATCCATTCTGACGGTTGTTTTCCCTTACCAGTGGTTGATATCCATCAATTTGAAAGATGAATATTTCCATGTGCCTATAGCCAAGCAACACCAAAGTTTCCAGTGTTTGGTGTAGAGGAAGAGCATTATCAATTTCAAGCTCTTCTTTTCAGACTAAGTACTTACATTCTAGAAAGTGATGGTTGTCCTTATAGTGGAACTCCGGAAAAGAGGCTTTGCAATCCATCATTATCTGGATGACAAATTGATTCTGGCAGACCGCAAACAGTCCCTTATATCTCACGGTCATATCTGCATAAAAACTCTTTCAGAGCACATTTGGAAGATCAATATTTCCAAAATTCAACTGGCACCGTCTCAAAAGATGATTTACCTTGGAGCCCTCTTCAATACCTTAAATGCCATGTTTGACTTTCCAAAGACAGCACCACCCTGTCTTTCCAAGTAGTCAACAGGTCCTTTTATTTCCTGGTTCGGTCAACTTAGTTGCACTGAACTCAAGAAACACTTGCCTTGCAAAGACCTCTCATTCAGCTGCATTGGGTAGTCTGTGATTGAACAATCACATAAAGTCTGGGTGTGGTTAGAAGAGGAAGGCTTGCAAAGGCAGCTGATAAGAGATTGTTAGCTTTTGCAAGCTGTTTTTAGATATAACTCCAATGAAAAAAAATGTGTAAATACACACACTCAAGTTTTCATTTGGGGTATATCTACTAAACAGTGGTTTATTTTATATTTGGGCAGTTGAGTGTCCCTTTAACTGCAGCATTTAAGAATATGCTACATCTTCCTTTTGTGTTTACTTTGGTCCAGGATAATTATAACAGCATTTCAGCTATATCATTTTCTGGAAATACCAGAGAAATTACCAATTTTGCTTTCTAAATTATAGGGTGTATTTCAGTATCTTTTCTTTTTCACTTTAAATAAAATGCCTAATTAATTTAAGGGTGATTCTGTTCCGCATGTTAAAAAGCAAGTATGCCCAAGTTCACCAAGTTGGTTATTCAGGCTTACACAGGTTTGTAGAGTCCTCTAGTATTTGAAATGAGTAGAAAATATAGCTAAACTCACAAGCCACTCTTTTTAGTTTAGCTCTAGTTCAATTATCATAGTGGTCAGCATAGGTTAACAGACACCTCAAAAAATGTTTTATGTATAACAATCTTTTCATCAAGTTTTGAAAGTGTTTTTTTTGTTTGTTTGTTTGTTTCATTAACCCCTTAAGACCGGAGGGCGTACTATTACGTCCTCTAATAGGCGGCTCTAAACGCCGCCGGGCGTAATAGTACCCCCTCCGGTCTTTCTGTACTTACCCGGTCGCCGGCGGTCCCACGCCGGCGATCGCGGTGGGGGGGACTCCCAGGGAGCCCCCCGCGGCACGACCGTCCTCCAGGAAGCCCCCCGGCCGTGTGAGAGTGGGGTCCTAGCGAGGTCCCCACAATCACATGGCCGGGGATAGCTGGCTTCTGTATTGCCAGCAGGGGGGCTGCCTGTAATGACAGGTGGTCCCCCTGCTGGCTGAAAATAAAAATGAAATAAATAAATAGTGTAAAAAAATAAATAATATATACTTAGATCATATATATATATTATATATATATGATCAAAGTATATATATACACATATACATACACACATGTACACCGTCTAGGTGTATTTTACTATTAATATATATATAATTATATATATATATTAATATCAAATTACACGTACACTGATACTGATTAAATATATATATAATTATTGTTATATATATATTTATATATATTATAAAAAAAATTAAAATGTAAATACGTTAAAAAATAAAATTACAAAAATAATTAAAAATAAATAATTAAAAAATATATAGATGTGTGTTATTTCGTTCTAACTGTATTGTGAAATTAATATATATATATATATATCAAAATACACATAGAACGAAATAATATATATATTTATACACATAAATATATACGTATATATCACTATATATATACCTATATATAAATAAAAATATTTTAAAAAAATTATATAGATATATACATATATATACACATACGTATATATATACATATATTGATTCTACATATATATTTATGTAATATTTTACATAATTAGGTATCTTAATTAATTACAATTAGCAGGACCTGCATGACAACCCATGCCGAAAGTAAAGGGAATTTAATTTGCTAGCACTATATTTAACCCTATAACTTTCCGAGACACCATAAAACCTGTACATGGGGGGTACTGTTCTACTCGGGAGACTTCGCTGAACACAAATATTAGTGTTTCAAAACAGTAAAATGTATTACAACGATGATATCGCCAGTAAAAGTGACGTTTTTTGCATTTTTCACGCACAAACAGCATTAAACGGACAATATTATTGCTATGATACTTTTTACTGTTTTAAAACACAAATATTTGTGTTCAGTGAAGTCTCCCGAGTACAACAGTACCCCTCATGTACAGGTTTTATGGTGTTTTCAAAAGTTACAGCGTCAAATATAAGGCTTGCGTTTCATTTTTTTCACATTAAAATTCGCCAGATTGGTTACGTTGCCTTTGAGACCCTATGGTAGCCCAAGAATGAAAATTACCCCTATGATGGCATACCATTTGCAATAGTAGACAACCCAAGGTATTGCAAACAGGGTATGTCCAGTCTTTTTTAGTAGCCACTTAGTCACAAACACTGGCCAAAATTGGCGTTTTTTGCATTTTTCACACACAAACAAATACTAACGCTAACTTTGGCCAGTGTTTGTGACGAAATGGCTACTAAAAAAGACTGGACATACCCCATTTGCAATACCTTGGGTTGTCTACTATTGCAAATGGTATGCCATTATGGGTGTAAATTTCATTCCTGGGCTACTATAAAGTCCCAAAGGCAACGTAACCAATCTGGCGAATTTCAATTTCAAATGTAACGTGCTATATTTGACCCTGTAACTTCCCAAAACGCCATAAAACCTGTACATAGGGGGTACTGTTTTACACGTGAGACTTTGCTGAATACAAATATGTGTATTTTATTGCAGTAAAAGCAAACAGTATTATGACACTGACCGTTTAATTGTCATGTAGAACTAAAAAAATCCAATAAAATCGTATTTTCTCCCATTTTTTTCATATTAAATTATGTTTCATAGCTAAATATTTGATATTAAATGAAAGCCCTGTTTCCCCTGAATAAAATGATATATAATAAGGGTGGGTGCATTTACTATGAAATAGGTGTATTACGGTTGGACAGACATGTAGCGCAAATGCCAGGTTTTGTTTACATTTTGTTTTGTTCACAACGTGTACATTTGGCTCCGTCCTTAAGGGGTTAAGCATATGTAAAACCTTTTAGTTTATGACCAGATGCTTCAGCCATATACATACACCTTGGGTCAGACAGTGTTAATAAACAGACTATTTCTGTGTTCTTCCCTGTTCCTATCCCTGGAATGAAGCACAAAAGCATACAGACACTGTTGTGTTTCAAACACTGGCTGACACAAGGTACATATGGGTACAGTATTTCCCAATTTTTACATATACTTCATTTAAAAAATCTATTTCCTTTCAGAAATGTAGAAAAAGTATTGTATAACAAAATATCATTTTGAGGTGACCGTTGTACCTTAAATGCAATTATAGAAAAATTATAATGTTTCAACTACAGTGCATGCACTAAATGAATACCTTGAAAAATTAAAATTTGTCCAGCACAAAAATTGTCTTGTGGTCCTTTCCTGGCACTATAGGATCCCTTTAAAATAAACACATTTTCCTGGCACTATAGGCTTTTGGAGTGCCCCCCTACCTCTGCGCTAAAGGGGTTAAAACCCCTTCAGCCGCTTACCTTACTCCAGCACTGGTGATCTCTCCTCCCCCGCCGATGTCAGCTCCTGAGTGGAGCTGAATGCGCATGCACGGCCAGAGGCGCGCGCACGTGCGCATTCAAACCTGCCCATAGGAAAGCATTACTTAATGGGGATCTTATTTGACACTGGACTCCATGAGGACGTCATTACTCAGTGTAAATCGCGGAAGCGGCCTCTAGTGGCTGTCAGGGAGACATTGAGCTGAAGTGGCCTGGGTGCCTATAGTGGTCCTTTAAGTTGCAAAAAAAAAAGGTAACATTTCACCCTTTAACAAACGTATTACTTCAGCGCATTTTGTGTGAATATATTGTCCATTAATTAAAGTAGTGGTGTATCATCCTCCATAATAATGATTAACATTCTATTCTAAAGTGTAGAAAACTCCCGTGATCAGACAGCTGGATATTTTTTTTCCTGTAAGTTTGTTTAAGCATCAGTTGGCAAACTCATTATTCATCAGCCCAAAACAGTGCTCACAGGTCTAAGAAGTTCAGATTAAGTATACTCAACTTGCTTGAAGAGTTGGTTAAAATTGAATGTGCAGAGGCATTCCCGCAGCTCCTGCAAAGCCCGTCTGAATCCATAATAATCGGGGGCAATCAGCACCAATTTTGGCCACAGACCCTGACACTGATTCCGGGGCAGCCAGTTGACACCGCCGATGCCGTTGTTTGATACGCCCGGCTCCAAAAATCAACACCAGGGCGGGAAGGCCTACCACGCGAGTGTCCAACAGAGGGACTTCTACCAGCAAGACAAGCCTATTCGACTGAGTCCGTGTGACATCATACTGCGGTGCCAATCAATGTCAGACAAATTGGGGTTCCTGTCAGCGCTACAAGGAAAGACTTCTTTTGAGTTCAAGGACTGTCGACTCTCCTTTTTTCAGGACTTGAGCAGTGGATGCACTACTCTGGCACAAACATATGCAACCACTCACTAAACCACTCCAAGCAGCTGGCATTGCCTACAAGTGATCAACTCTGGTGACCCTCTGGGTTACCAAAGATGGCAAGCACGACAAGGCCACTGACCCCACAGAGGGCCCAGCACTAGGCCTCCCTACCCTAGCGATGACCTCGATGACACAGCCAGGCCACCAATCTTGGAATGCGGAAGCAGCCACAGTCGGCGCACCCAGATCGCACAGAGGCATCAAGACCTGAACCAATGCTCTCTGCCTTTACTAAGTTAATCTAGCTATTATGTTTAGCAGCGTTTGTTATTTACTTTTGGTTAATCATTCTGTTGCAACAACCAAGTAAGATGTGATAGGGACCTATTGGGGTTCCACCACTGAGCTCCGGTGGCACTCTCGCCCTGGGGTAACAGGATACTACCAGCACGGTAGCTCTATAACCTCTCTTAGTGTAGTGCTTTAAGTCTCATCTGCCACCATTAGACCTATGCCCTACGGGCGCAGATAGGCCCTCCCACAGCTCCCACCCACCTAGACGAATACTCGACATAGATACTAAACAACCTTGCGACTACACATAGCTGTCACCACTACTATAAAGTTGACCAAGGCCCACAGTTCTTTTCCACTACAGGCGTTAGCCACGCAGCTTCAGATGGATGCCAACACGGGTGCAGGCCAAGATTAAGCAAGGCGCTCCTTGGGGGAACGCCACAACACACCACACACCTAGCACAGGTCAAGTCCTGGGTGCCACAAGAGGCACATTACTTCAGTAGCCTTAAGCGAACAGACTGGGACTTGACCCCATAGCCAGAAGTCATAATGGATACCACACGCCTCACCCACCATATGGCTCCATGATAACTGCACTGACGCACATAGACAGGTTAAAGTAGTAGCTTGGCTAAGTATGACTGTCTTTTCATCGCATGAAAAATAAAGATGATTTTTTTTTTTAAATTGAATGTGCAATGAATGAATTCCATATATGTAGTGCCACTTAACTTTCTTTTTTTTCTGTAATATTTTGTGTTACCACGTTTGTTCTTTTATTACTCTTATTTCTGCAACTGATATTTTTTTATTTATTTTTTTTCATGCCTTTTCAGGTTGACTTTCAAGCTGTGCCACATATACTGGAATTGGCCTGGAACTATTCGGGTACCAGCTCCTTGCAAATATGCACACAAACTAGCATTTCTTTCTGGGCAGTTCCTTCACCATGAACCATCTATTCAGCTTTGTGATAAGCTTTTCTTCCTTTGAACAAGTCTGACTATGAATGCAGATCTTACATTCATAAACTTCAAGCAACTTGCATATATGTTCAACTTTAACCTTTTTTGTTTTTATCAAGCTATTGTTTGAAATCATGCCCATGATTTCTTATCCATGTCTCCAGATTTAGTGTAAATCTGTTTATTTTTATTGTAATTTCTCTGTTTTGTTGTTTAATAGTCAATCGTAGTGATCATTTGACTAGTAGAGTTTCATTCCGTATTTAATATTTTGAAAATGTTTTGACAGCCTAGAATACTTATATAATATATGGCAGTACTGGCAAGCCAGATGTTTATGAACCATTTCCCACAATACTAAGCTTGCCATCAGACTGAATGAACATAATGGGAAATACAGGTCACAGACATAAGGATAACCATCACTTATCTATGATTATATTACAGAGTAATGAAGCAGATATATAATCAGTGTTAAACTGAAAATTGTATTCAACATAGTGTTAAAACTAAAATATTTCCCAAAACTCCTTTGTTAGCTGACCATAAAGCCTATATTTATACTTTTCATTGATATGTTGGCTCTTTATAAATAATAAACAGTGAGAAAACAACTCTGATTTAAAATTACAATGACCAGTTACATACATGACTTTTAAAGGGGAACTGTTATTTCTCTAGAATTTACATGGAATAAAACTCTGAAAATCTAATCAAATGAGGTGCTCTGGTGCACTTTAAATGTATATTACAGATTTAGGGAATTACAGCATAATCCATTTGAGACAAGGCAAAGCCAGGGCAAACATTGTGGAAAAGGAGGAGAAGAAATGGAAACATTGTTTCAATTCTTCTCTTTTCTTTATGCTGACAGCCATGTGCAAAGTACAGTGTTTATAACAATGAGAGCCAATTTTAAAACAGCAGGTTGCAGAAAAAAGTTTTTTTTTTTACATTTAGTACCACTACAGTTTAATGTAGTCAGCGTGATGCAAAGAGACTTTCTCTGCAAGTTCAGTAGTGTAAACACCACTACCTTTTCTGAGAAAAGGCAACATCTGAGCTACACTGGCATTCAGCGTCTTCACTCCCAGCATGAGGACACTGTACGCTTAGTTTGCACTGGTTTTGCAGTGTACCAATGCACTTCTATGAGGCGATGCTGATTGGCGCATAGCGGCAATTGTCATGCATGTTCTTCAGGTCCGTGTGGAAATATTGCATTGACTGGGATCATTTGCAACGATCTTCTCAACTTGGTTTGGAGTGGCAGCATGATGGGGGAAGAAAGGGTTTCAAACAATTGTATTATTTCAGGAGGGAGGGGGTGGGGGGACTAAATAGTTAAAGGGACACTATAGTCACCAGAAAAAGTACAGCTTATTGAATTTGTTCTGGTGAGAAGACTCATTACCTTCAGGCTTTTTGCTGTAAACACTGTCTTTTCAGAGAAAATGCTGTGTTTACATAACAGCCTAGCCATAACTTTACTGGCCACTCCTCATATTGCTGTTAGAGATCCTTCCTGGTTCATGGCTGCCTAAAATGAATCCAAACATTCAGTATCTCCTCCCTCTGCATGCAAACACTGAACTTTCCTCATAGAGATTCAGTGATTCAGATGCTGATTGGCCAGGGCTGTGTTTGAATCATTCTGGCTCTGCCCCTGATCTGCCTCTTTGTCAGTCTCAGCCAATCCTGTAGGGGAGCACTGTGATTGGATCTGGCTACCACTTCTGATGATGTCTGCAGACTGCTTGTTTTTCTGAGGCAAACAGCATGCAGATCTACAGCTTCAGGCTTGAATACAGTAAGACTTTGCTATATTTATGGAGGCATGAGGGGCCCAGGGGGGCTAGATGGTGGTTTTAACACTATAGGGTCAGGAATACCAGTTTGTGTCCCTGACCCTCTAGTGATACTTTAACAACAAACTCTAATGTTCAGTATAAAATACCAAAGTTAAGCGTTTTCCTTATAATATTAGGAGATAAGTACTATAAGTTATACAATATCCCTTGTCTGGCGGGTTTATAAATAGTGTACGTATGTGTATGTAGTATTGGTATTGAAAAGGTTAAAGGGACACAATAGGCACCAGAGCCACTACAGCGAATGTCGATCCTTATTGCATGTTCAGCATAGAGATGCAATGTCCTTCCTTTTGCAATGGATAAGAAAATCAGGATTGATTATCTCAGTCTGCAGAGGCATGGAAGCCCAATGGCCACTTGTGCTGCAGGGAAATAAATGTAAGTAAAATACTTTATTTAAAGGAACGCTAGTGTCCGGAATACGAAACTGTATGTATATTTGTATTCCAAACACTATTGTGTTCCTTTATAGAAATAGTCATTAAAACAGTCAACTGCCTAGATCTGTTATTCCCAAACCACTTGTCCATGATTTAGGAATTACTCTGTTGTGTTCAGGGCCGGAATGGAAAAAATTATTCGGCCGTGGCATTTTTGAAAACTGTGGTCCACTGAGAGGGGTGTGTATTGTCATCACCAGTGACCAGCACATCCCAAAGTGAGCATGTTGATTCAATGCTCTTCCAACGCAGCTCATGCGCAGAGCCTTGCTGAACAGCTCTCGCGTGAGAAAAATACCCTGTATTTGTTCTGTGCAGCACAACAAATTTAATAAGCTTGTGCTGTTTGCTTGTGACTTGTCTCTGGTGTCTCCGTAAGAGGGATACCAGAGTACAAAAGTGCCAGGAAATCGTGTTGTGCATGTGTTTGAAGCCTGCTTGTGACATTGCATGTGTGTAGTGTGAGCTGATTGTGGTGTGGTGTTTTATGTAAATGTTGGTTTTAGTTGTCATGTTTGTGGTGTAATATGTGTGTCTAAGGGCTATAAAGAGTGAAAGAATGTGTGTGTATAGGGGATCTAGCGAGTGTGTGCATAGGGGCTGTAGTGTATGTGTACATAGATGATGCGTACGGGTTGTAAAGTGTGTGGGTTTAAGGAATGTAGTGTGTGTGTTTGCTTACAGGGGATCTGATGTTGACATAGGGGATTCAGAATGTGTATATCAGGAACATTTTGTGTGTGTGTGTGTGTAGGACCTAGAGTGTGTATAGAAGATTTAGAGTGTGTAGAGGATCCAGAGTTGTGTAGAAGATCTAGTGTGTGTGTGAAGACTGTAATGTATGTGTGAGTGATGCAGTCTATGTGTGTGTGTGTGTGTGTGTGTGAAGGGTGCAGTGTGGCAGCGTGTGTGTTTGAGAGGTGGGTGCAGTCAGTGTGTGAGGGGTACTGTGTGTGTGATGGGTGAAGCTAGTGTATGTGTGTGTGAGAGAACAGTGCAGTTAGTGTGTGTATTTGTGGTGCAGCTAGTGTGTGTGTGTGTGTGTGTGTGGAGTGCAGTTAGTTTGTTTAGGGTGCAGTGTGTGAGGGATGCAGATAGTGAAGCGGGCAGCTAGTGTGTGTTTGAAGTGCAGTGTGGATGAGGGGTGCAGTGGGGGAAGAATAAAGTAATGTATATATTTTTTTATTTAAAAAAAAATATATATATATATATAGTCTATATCACCCCTACCTTCTTTCCTTTGCCTGGGAGGAGGAACATGGAGGTGAATCCCTTGTTGTTCACTCTCGTGAGATTGGATCGTTGCCATGGTAACCATGGCAACACTCTGACCTCGTGAGAGGAACCTGGCAGAGCTTCAAGCTAATAGCTCCCAGGGTCCTCCGCACTTTCCCCTGCCGGCTGCCCAGTAAAGTGCCTGTGGGCCCACCGGCCCATCCAGGCACACAACAGGGCCGGTCCTCGGAAAGCATGTGCTGGTCATGGTCGGTCCATGGCTATTGTGGCATGCCGGGCATTTTCTGGTTTGCCAAAGGGCCAGTCTGTGCCTGGTTGTGTTCCAATTGTTATATATGAGAGGAAGCCTGTGCACTCACGCAGTGACGTCATATCCTTTCCCTCATGACACTGCATACAAGAAATCCTGGATCAGCTTAAGTGAAGGTGTCTCTACTCCCCTCAAGCCTTTGAAACTGCATGGGCTATATTTCATACGGAGGTGGAACTTAACTGCTGCATCTTTCCAAAGATAAGTGGCCACACTGAGGGAAATGCCTCTACTGCACAAAATTTATTTGTACCATTTTATCCTCTAAGTGTCAGTTTTGCCATATGTTATGTATTTGTTAACATTAAATACTACACTATATAAGTTCTTTCTCTCACTTTTTTTTCTATTTTTAGATCTCCCCTTGTATTGCTACTGCATTGGGAGCATTTCCATTTAGATGTATATTTTCTTTCTCCTAATAACAGGTATTTTAATAATCTTGTACATGTTGGGATGTGTGTGCATCACTGGCACAGTTTCTTGGCGCCAAGGACAAAATATATTGTTTAGGTATATGAAAGGTCCAATAAACGTGTGTGTGGTGAACAACCAGGACAACCCAATCTAATCTAAATCCCAAATAAAAAAATAGGTCCTTTTACAGTGGGTCTCCCTAATATTAAGCCAACCCTCATTGACGCCCAGCCCTGTAACTCCCCTCTGAGGCTCAGAGAACTTTTTATGAATGCCAAAGAAGCTCTGCAAATACATAGGGATGAAATTAAGATATGGGGGGAGGGAGGGGCAAGATGATAAACATCAGCTCTGAAGTTTATGATGTATGTTTTAGGGGTCAAGGGAAGGAATTAAGAAAAATGGTAAATGCATAGGTTTTATAAATGCCTTACCCATATGCAGGGAAAAGTAAATATGTTTTAATAGCCTAGAGCAGTGGTTCCCAAACCAGTCCTCATGGCCTACCAACAATCCAAGATTTATGTATTTCCTTTTTTTATTCCCATGGAGATACTGACTGGTGGGCCTTAAGGAATGGTTTGGGAACTACTGGCCTAGAGCTTTCTTTTAATGAAACATACACTGTAGAATTTCCTTGAGGACTGTCCATCAATTGTTTCCAGTAAGAGCACTGCGAATAATCCTTATGGAGTGGTTTGTGAGATCTATAGTTCAGCAGTAAGTAAAAAGTTGACTCCAACTTAGAAAAAAACATGCTTTTAAAGAAAACACTGTTTTTAGTTAGAGTAACTCTTCATATTCTGGTCCCCACTCCACAAAAGCAAGGGGGAAAATTAAAAGCCACAATACCCCCATTCTATGCAGCATTGCAGCCAAGTTCTCCCTCAGCCCAATTCTCCTCTTCTAAAGTCATTCCCCAGAGAGGACGCGGTGATGCAGTGGTAGAGTATGTGCCACCATTGGTTGTTGCATGCGTGTAGATGACGGATTCCAAATATGCACAAAATTGACATCAGCTAGCACAGAAAACTTGTTTAGGGCTGGCTAATGACTGCTGAAGGTGGAGTTACACCTCTGGCAGAAGAGAGATTGAACTCCAGACTACTTCACAGCACTAAAGTGGTTATGGTGCTTCGAATAGGTGAAATGGTCGTGTTGCTTGGAGTAACCCTTTAAACATGATAGAAGGAAATTGGCCAACTAAGCCATATACAGAGTTTTTGTTATTATTATTAAATGAAAGAAAACCCTCTAAGCCACAAATGCTCATCGTTACTGTACCAAATCTCATACTGAAAGTTCAGAAAAGGCCCAAAATGGTATGGTTTCTGAAGATGCACTACAGTGAGAGCCATAAACCTTATAAACATTCATAATTTTTTGTTTGTTTTTAAATGGACAAAGAAAGAAATGTATCTTGGTGTAGTGGGAGCATGGTCCCTAATGGCAAAGGCAGAAGTGATCGTCTGATAATTTGTATAGTTAACAGGTAAAATCGCAGACCAATAAAACTATAGGTAATTATGTGCATCGATGGGCTCCTTTTCTAAGCAAGTATGCTGCAAATCGGCTACATCTTAGGTAACCTTAGATCAATTTTATATCTATTAGTATGTATCGGATAATGTATATGATATGGTCATACTATCAGTTTTAGTTATGAAGCTCTTTTGTTCAGCCACACATCAAACAAACTATGTGAGTGCTCTTGAGTATTTATGAAGTGCGGATAGAATGTACAAGTAATTAATCTATTGTGTTGGAAGTGTATAAGAAAAATTATTGGTATTTGAGACAGGGCATTCTCTTGTGGATGATGCTTGTCATCTTTGAACAGATTACTTTCATGGAGGACAATGCACTCAGTATTTTTTTTTTTAGATTTGTGATGCCATAAGTATTTGTAGAAAACATGTATGGTTTTCCCCCAGAATGGTTTACTTTAAAGAAGAAAAATATACTATTGAGCCAAGAAGCAACTATGAAAAAGTACAGTTCTAAGCTAAATGGGAGTTTAAGTAGATTATATGGCATAACATCTGCCTCTCCAGAACATGTGTGTGTGTCGCAACCCGGTACACACCATTTCAGAATGATGCAAATGCTGGAGTGAATAAAAGAATATAATATCGCAGCATCCATTACCAGTATGGATGCAAAACAGGCTTTGGTAGCATTGAGTCCAGGATCTTTGATAGACTATGGGTGATATCATCCACTGTTAGAAACATCCAAAACATTGCATTAGTGCACATGGACTCCCTGATTCCACAAGTCATTACTGCAAATATTGTGTAATGTCGTCTAGTTGAATAAGCCTTTAAACACCTAAATATCAGTAACTCTTTTATTTTGATAAGTAAAAAAACAATAGCATAGCAATCTACCTACTAAGCATGGACAACATACCAGGCTGACCCCTTGTCTTACAGTTTAATGTCACACTATTTTATGTCATGCAGAAATGGTTGGTTAAGGTGGTTCTTTCTTGGGTACCTCTAACATCTAAAGCACCTAGAGTAAGTCACATGGATTAGAATAACAAAGCATTTTCTGAAATGAGCAATCAAGTTACAAATTGAAACTCAAAGCATATCTTAAAACTGTATGCTCTAATTTATGAATATGGACACAATGTAATGATTTTATGTTCTATTGATTAGTTAAAAGTGTTTTCGTTTCTAAGTAACCTGATTGTTTTAGAATAAACAATATGAAAAGCTTTGTCACTCTCTAAAGAGTAAAACCTTCACGGTTAGTTATAAGAACTGTTTGTTCATCCCCAAGACTGAGCAGCAGGGCAAGGCAAAAAAGGAAAGTTTGACTGTGTTGAAGGTGAACCTTACAGAGAGGGCAGTAGTATTATTGAATGCATGTCATGGTCCAGCCAAGGCATCTAGAAAGGGTACCTTAGACGTCTGAGTGTATGACTCTAAAAGGTGATGCCCAAGGATGCACATTAAAACAAAATTGTAATCCTATAGATGCAAACTCTACACTGCTCTCCTAGATAAAAGCTGTGACAGCTGCAGTTCTGCCACTATGCAGAGACATTCAGCCTGATTTCTTCTGTGACAGATTAAGTCGATTTGTGCCATTTCCTATGTTTTGGGGGTATATTGTTATGGAGCCCTGATGCTTAGCAGTTACTGATCTAGTTATCTCCCAAACTCAGAGGCGTCAGGGTGGGATTTCCATTGTTCAAGCCATGTACCACCTGTTAGTGTCATGTGTATAAAAGCTTGCCTTATTTCCTATAAACCAGTTCTTATTAACCCTTCACAAACTCTCTAATTGTTTGGGTGAGACACCTATAATATCTATAATCACTATAGGTATCCAGCGCTGAAAAACAGGGACAAGAGTGATGCACTCAAAAAGTTGTCTACTGCATAAAGGAATTTATTCAGACGTAAAAATGTTCTAAATCCTAATACATAAAGAAGATAGCGGTTGTAGCTGAAACATCAAGGATTCGTTGTTTCACTTTTTGCTTAAAAGGATACTCCAAGCACCATGACCACTTAAGTAATTTAAATCATTTAAAGTGGTTGTGGTGCTTGGAGTCTAAATGTGCAGTGTTTAGCTATGAAATGCTGCATTTACATAGTTTACATTTTGTGCTGCCCAAGGTGTAACTCCATTTCCTGGAGGGTCATTGAGGTGTCTTGGCTGGCTGATGCCAAACAGGGCAGGCCTGTCCTGTCTTGTCCATAGGAAGAAATGGGCAGTGGCCCCAGCCAGCAGTTTAACAGGGGCGGCATTTTGCCGCCACTGGTGCATATACATGCAGCAGAAGCGGCTCTACAAACCTTGGGGCAGACTAATCACTCAGGTACTAGGTCAGTGACAGAGGACCCGACAGGAGGTGGGGGCACGGAGGCTTGCCCTGTATGCTGCCGGGCCCCTCCATCACTCTGCCCAGGGGGAGCCTCCTGTCTGCATCTCCGCTGAGTGCAGAGCTGCAGACCATGTTGTGGAAAGCTCGTAAGCTCCAAGATCTTTGCTTGCTTTTGGTGCAAGGTGGGGGAGCAGCATTTCAATCTTGGATACAGGCAGCACAATGGAGAGAAAAGAACAAA